TGACCTTTTCCCACTGACAGTATGGACAGAGCTAGGAAAGTTCCTATGTCAGTTGTTAAAAAGCCAGTGGATTGGCAGATTAAAATATTCACTATTCAGGACCCGATTTCCACCATTGGAGACTGTAGGCACACAACCTTTTGGCAGCCAAATGAACCTCCTTTTGATAGGATCACATCTCTTGCAGATAATATTTTGGTTTTACTGGTCATTAGCCATTTTAGAATATTGTGACTGTGGAAATTCACTGAGTGATGATTGAGTGTCTGCTGATGATAGGAAAATGTCTGGTTGATAACTGTTCAGAGAAGTTAAGCCCTACACAATGAACAACATTGTGTATGCAGTCCAGTGCAGTGAGGAATGCTCAGAATTGCATGTCGGTGAAACAAAGCAGCAGCAACACCAGCGTATGGCACAGCATAGAAGAGCCAAACCCTCTGGTCAGGTTTCGGCAGTGTACCTACACCTAAAGGAAAAAGGTCACTCCTTTGAAGACAGTCAAGTACGCATCCTAGGCAGGGAGGAGGACTGGTTCAAAAGAGGTGTGAAAGAGGCCATTTATGTAAAAATTGAGAAGCCAAACTTGAATAGAGGTAGGTGGAGGGGTGAGACATTGATTGTCTGCCACATACAATGCTGTCTTAACAAGTACCATGACCTGGATGAATGATAACCTTCACAGACATACAGGGAGAAGCCACTTCTCCCTGAACACAAGTCCCTGAAAATGTCTCTGTTTTGAAAAATAAATTGTTATCTTTATGCAGGTTGTATTCTTTTCCTATTGTTTAATAAAACATTGGATTGCATATACTTGTTATTCTTCCATATAGCACCATAGACAGCTGTACTTAAGGGTAATGATCACTTGCACATAACACAATCTAAATGTTAGTTATTACCACAATGGAAACAATGTTAATGTGCATGTATAGCCAAAACGTTGTTATGTTTGTTTTGGATACAGTAGTGAAATAAGTCAGTTTATTTTTTTCCTTTCTGAGTTCCTGTAGGGAGATTTCCTATCACTTCCTATGCTATAGATGCAACATTATCTCTAAAAAGTGAGGGGATTCCCCCTTTTAGACAGCAGTCACAGAACAGATGTATCTGCTGGGTAATTTACCTCACCTCTTATTCTGGTAACAAGTTCTTTAACTAATAACAGCAATGTATTTTATTTGTGTATCATTTGGCTGTAGATCCTCAAATCATCTATCTCTGAAATTATGCTGACACTGTCCTTCCTTCTGGGGGGGGGGCTACTTTTTGTTCCTCATGGTCCCTGTGTGTGTGTTATAAAGCACCCACTGCTCCAAACTCGCTCCCGTGATGGACTACAATCTCATGTTTAGTTTACTAATTTGTATTGAGATTGTAGTACATCACAGGAGTGAGCTTGGAGTGGTTAGAGGCTGCATTTAGCATGGGGCTACACAAATATAAAGAGTTTTGGAGCTGCTGGGAGCCAAAAATGGTAGTGAAACTGTTCTGCCAACAGTACATCCAGATACAAAAGAAAGACAGAAATAAATACTGTAACCATTAGCACACTGTAATTGTTACTGCTTTTGTGCTTTGTCTATGATTGAAACAGTTATTTAACCAATATTTGACATGCAAAATATACTTTTTTCACTGCCTTTTACAAAGGCAAAGAAAGTGTAGATTATGAGTTGAAATAATGATTGATGCTGATAAAAGGTGATAGATGATGACAATGAATATGATTACTATTATTTTAAGTCAAATAAATGGGTTCCCATGAGAAAAACATCTTCTCACTCATGTCCTTTGAAATACTTGGTACAAAAATTTGCACTATAGATTTCTTGCTGCATTCACTGATCACTGATCAGAACTGCTGCACATCACATCTACAATATGCCTAGTAGTAAACCAGAAACCCCGTTCTTTCTGTTTTACAATTGAAAGCAGTGAGAAGACCATTTCCCAGCATGCAGTATTTACTGCACAATTATGGGAGTTTATTATGCTGGGCGTAAAGACTAGAAGAAAACCTTTTACAGTCTCCCTGCCACGTTCAATTGTCCTTTGGAACGACAAGTGAAAGTTTGGAGAGAAAACACAGTACATGTTTGGGCTGCATATCATTACAGCTACAATCTCAGAGCTTTGCAGCAGATTCATTTCCTGTCCATCTATACTGGAGATGCTTTACTGTTATTTACAGCGGTATAACACAATAACAAATCAATAGCGAGATAGCACATCGCTGATTGCCTGCCAGTCACAGGTGGTCATTAGTCCTCTTATCTTTCCATTACCCTCATCTCCTGATCCAGATTTATATGTGGTCATGATTGGATAATTAGAATTCCATTTCTATTAGACGATGTAATGCACATCTGGACTCGGTAATTCGCAATCTCCAATAAATAATACAAAAATAGTCTATATAAAAAAAGATAGGCCCTAAAATAACTGCAAAGGTAACTGCACTGATCAGTTTTCCTTGGAAGAGACAGTAAAGGGGTTTATTGTATTCTATATGCATGGCAGTTCTCTAGCTCATTCTTCCAGTATGAAACGTTCTTAGGTTTTATCAGGTTGTAGATCCTTCTGTCTCATGTTTGTAGAGTTCAAATAGGCTTCTAAGGAGCAGATACAAAGTGCATACAGAGGGAGATACAGTAAAATAGGACGTGGAAGTGCTTGTATGAGGGCTCCTACAGAAAATGGCATAGGCCTAAACAATGTTTGCACAACACACTCAGCTCATGCACCTCCAATGTACTTTATTTAATAAAGATGCCTTCTAATACGAGATTCAGCAATAGTATGCAGGAAGGATAAGAACAAGGTCAAGCACGCTTTCTGCACAACTTTATTTTTTTATTCACAATAAATAGCTTTTAAACATTTGTTCTAGGGCTGCAACAAACTAATTGATTGATCGATAATAATCGATTATGAGAATAGTTGTCAACTATTTTCATTATTGATTAGTTGGTTGGATTTCCAAGCTCTCTCCTCCGCACTGGGAGGAGGGCATAGCAAGCAGTGACAGGTGCAATAGCCAGCCTGCTATTGCAATTTGAAATGGCCAATAGCAGGCTAGCTATTGCACCAGCCTACTACCTGCTGTATTTATATTCAGCTGCCGTTTGTTGAATCTTGCCACTGGCAGCTGTCATTCTCTGACTGAAGCTATTCAAACGCCATGTGCTTACAATACAATAATAATTTTTTTAAATAAAACTTGGGGAAAAAGTCATTTTCGGTTTCGTCCTGACAAATTCTGCTGCGAGAGGTGCGTTGTAGTGCCATTCATTTCAATGGCACGCCAAACGCACTTCCCACCCACAGTGTGATTGCCAACACTGAAATGCACGGCTCTGACTTCCAGTGCAGTGTGATTGTAAAAAATGGTGTATGCAGTTTTATTCTGAAGTAAACTTTATGTTTGTAACGCTGCATTTGTGTATTTTATTTAATTTTTTATCTGATTAATTGATTAATCAAAAAGTAATTGGCCAACTAATCGACAATGAAAATAATAATTGGTTGCAGCCCTAGTTTGTTCTGTCTTCTTCTAATATGAAGTACAATAGAGTTTCATGACCTGACATCTGTGTATTCATATAATTAATATTTCTATAGCGCTTACTGGGGTCTCAAAGCACTTTTTCTGCTCTGGGTGGCAGCCATCTTGTTGTGTTTGGTAGAATATCTGACAAGAGCCAATTTTAAAAAGGAAATCAATTAAGCTACCAGCATGTCTTTCAAGTGTGAAACCCATGCAAACTCAATACTGCACGGTACTTAAACCCAGGACCCTAATGCTGCAAAGCAGAAAGACTAACCACTAGACATGTAAATTTAATTTTGGTCAGAATGTATATTCGGACAAATTTCATTAAATTGGGATGCATCTGAATTTCCTAATTTGAATGTGTCCGAATGCAAACAGGGGGGTTGCTGTTGGGGGTTGCCTTACAGGTACAGTCATGTGACTTCATGTTGTCGAGTAGTGAGAGTTGTTAAGAGTAGTAGGCAGGCATACAGTGTCAGAACTAAAATGACCACCCCCCAAAAAAATAAATAAGTTAATTTATAATCAAAGAACCCCATCCAAATAAATCTGAAACAAAAACTCGGATCATTCAAAAACAAAAATTCAGATGGATCCAAAATCCGAATAACAAATCAAATCAAATTTCGGATCCAAAATCTGAAAAACGAAAGAAATAAAAATCCAAATTGATGCAAAACAAAACAATTTTTTTGCAGGGTTACATGTCTGCTAACCACTAAGCCACTGTGCTGCAGCTAGCCTAAAGTGCATTTAAAACCCTTGAGAAAGTTGTGTGGGGGTTAAAACCCCTGTCAAATTGTGTTTCCTTCTGTGTCCCTGCTAGGGAGCTTGACTCTATTTTTTTTTAAAGGAAAATCTAAAATTGTGTGTTGTCACCAGAATAAGAAGATAAATCATCCATAAGTAACTTGTACTATTTACAACTGTCTAAGAGGAGATGTCCCTCACTTTGAAAATATTTCCTCTTATTTCCTGTTGTGTCTTCAGGACAGGAAATTAAGGGAAATATGTCCCAGTGGGCACATATGGCAAAAAAGGAAAGCTGGTAGGGGCATTTCATCCAAAAAATGGCCTACTTTGTAAAAAACTTTGTAAAAAAACCTACTTTACATTCTATACATCTGGAACAGTATTGTTTCAGGACTACTGCTTTGCTGAGTGTAACTACTTGTACATGGAAAGGATCAGGGTGGAGTTTGGCACTTCTAGGCAGAACCTTTGTTACAGACTTGAATGCAAAATTATTGGCAGGCATGTCTGAAATTGTATGTATGAAATTATATGTACCCATGGATTGGAGACTTTACAGATTCCTGTAATTCTAGACTTCACCATAGTGAAATTAGTGAAAGAGGTGATATGTTGTATCTCATACTGATCACTTGTTTTGTGTTCATAATTGTTGGTATTATAATTTAATATTTTGTATATTTTTCAGGAAGCAATGGAGAGCCTTTGCCGGAATCACTGCCTTCTGCCCCAGGTACCCTTCCCCATTTCCAGATGGAGCCTGAAGATGCCTACATCATTAAAAGCAATCCCATCATTTTACACTGCCGGGCTATACCTGCAATTCAGATCTACTTCAAATGTAATGGAGAGTGGGTGCATCAGAACGACCACTGGTTTGAAGAGAGTGTGGATGAAAGCACAGGTAAAGACTGCTTCCCTGACCGGGAGATTAATTATTTCGTAGACTAAACCAAGTTCCACATGGAGTGTACTTAGATTTTTTTACATTAAAACCTTAACGTGGAACTCCAGGTAAAATGTTTTTTTTGCCTGGAGTTCCACGTTAACTCCAGGCAAAAAAAAGGCATTGGCAACAGTGGTGAAGAGTTAGAAACTCTCTTGATTTATCATTTCTGTCTATATCTACTAACCTTCACTACCGGTCAGTGTTACAAGCACAGAATGCAAGAGGGAATCCAAAATCCCCTATTTAGGCCTAAAGTCAGTGCCAGCATTAGCACAACAATTTAATTTCACTTACATATGCTAATAACTGGTTTACCTTCTTTTGATTTTTTTTTTATCCTTTGCTAGTTCATAGAATCTGACAAGATATGTGTGTTGCAGTATATACAAGAAGTGATAGGTCTGCTTTACAGAAACCCTTATGTTTTCCCTGTGTGAAGCAGATAGGGATTTCCTTCCCACGTAGAGTGTTGCACTGGCCTTGAACTCAGAAGAGCTTGGGAGTGAACTCTATGGGTTCATTCTCAGCTACTAGGAAATCACACAACATCCTTAAATTAACTCTGTCTCTATAGCAAGATAAAAACAATAGTACTGTCAGATTTAAAGTGCAGGGGCATGAGTGAAGTGGAGGATATTGTCCTTTAGGTGATGGGGGGACCCTGGGAGAGATGTCTGGGATACTCGGGAAGGGATGTATTAGTGGAATGTCACCCCTAACCCGGAATACAGGTGGGAGACCCACTATTCGGTTAAGAGGGAATCCACTGGAATAACAAGTGAATATGAGGTCAGGATACTAGAAAGACATATGCCTACCAGTGTCTTACCCCAGGACTAGAATGAGACTCACATACCATAGGTTTTGTTTTATGTTTAGGTTATTCAAATAACCATGTTTGATTTAAGTTCATATAATTTTGTGATGGAAAATCACGGCATAGTAGTTTACATCATAAGTATTTATATGCAGACAACACAGGAATGCTAACCTCCTGACCTACACTATCTTCCTATGCCTAGTCAAGTGGTTCTCAATACAGCCTCATTAAGTGGCAATTTAATTGATTGTGTTTCCAACTTCACTTGCTTTGTATGCTTTGACTGTTTGAAATGTAATACTTTATCTTGAAATGTCTTGCATTTTGTTTTTGTAATCTACTTTTGAAAATTTATGAAAATAAAGAAATTGTTATTCAAAAAAAAAAAGTGCAGGAACATGCCTGTAAATGTGCAGATATCAGCCATGCTTAAAATAGTGTCTAGCAGCCCTACTTGACTCTTCTGCCACAGGATGTCAAGCAAACATTTCCATCTACTGTGGATGCTTAGGTGTTTTTGCTGCAAATGATCAATCTTTACAGTACCTCATCTTTTCTTGACTTTTCCTATCACCTCTGACAAGGAAACAACCACCTTTGCTCATGGTGAAGGGTTTTGAAAGTCATTTAGAAGATAAGAGTGACAAACTAAAAGTAAAGATTAGAAAACACAGAGATTAACACACACGTTCAGGCACGTAGACTTAGCAAGTAGACTGGGGACCTAGCATTTTTTCCAAAAGAGGAGGATTTTTAGCTCCAAATCTAGACAATTGCCATGTAGGACCTTCAAAAATATAAACATTGTACCTTATAACACATTCACATAAAGAGGAACTCTACCCATATCTTCAAAATAACAACAAAGGCAACTTTAGAAATGTTTAGTAACGACAATCTACAAACAGACACTTCTAGATAATTGCCAGTGTTGTATTCTTTGCATACCTTGTTTTTCTTTTTTCCCCATTCTTCTCACAGTGGCCATTTTCACGAAGGGCAAATTAATCCATCTACCTTTACTTCCCGGAACTCTGACACATGTGACTAGGACATGTGACTATGCACATCATCTCTGAGCTCTTGTGAGATTACAGATGAGATTTCCTGGCAATGCTCTGCTGGTGTAACCTTACCAGGATACAATGCTTGGGTACCACTTTTGCCAAAGAGAATCAGGAAGTAGAAAACAAGAAATTGTAAAATGAAAACATATTTGTGCAACTAATGAATGTACGATGACTTTAATAGCAGCATGTAGAGCTGTATGCTAATGTGATTTTTAGCCAAAGGGGGTAAAGGTCCACTTTAAGGATTTGCACAGGCAACACATTATTTTGGAACACCTTTTCAGCTGGACCATGACCCAGACTCTTGCTGCAGAATGTGAAGAAAAATAAGCTACACATTGCACAACAATACCTCCCAAGGGAGAACAACAACTTCTCTAATAAAAAGTTTCCGCAAAGTCATCCTAGCAAGCAAACATGTTATTGTATAAAGAACCTAACATTAGCATATAAGCACCTAATATTGTAATTTAATCATTAGTAAAGCCTATAATATATATTTTTCATTATCACCTCTAGTTCTCCTGTCTCTTTCCGTTCTTTCTCTGATCTTGTGCCTGGAAGGAAGAGAGATACAAGATCTGAGAATGAACAGAGAGATGGGAGGCAATGGTGATATGAATACCGTAGATGAGGTACTGTGAAGACTGATCATTTGTAGCAGGGATATCAAGTCTTCTGCCCTGTATTGTGGTGCCGCGCTGGGTAAATCTCAGGATTGTGTGGACAAAAGTACAAATCATTTGGCAGGTAAAACAGTTCTCACTCATATATCTTTTTTATATGTATATTTTGTTCTTTGCTGAAGTTCAGCTTTAAAGCAGCTCATGCTAGTTAGATCAACAATGTAACATAAGAAGGTGAGACAGTAGTGATGGTGAGGGGCATGTAGAAATGACTGATCAGCCTTGTAGCCTTACGCAATCACATCGACAATTTGTTGATAATCCACACATTGAAAGTAAGCCAGTTTGTGGTTTCAGTAGCATTCATGAGTTTGTTGTAACCCTTTCATTGCCTTGATATATTACATACTTTAGTAGCTATCTAGGACATGGTGAAGCAATGCAGTATGGAATATGCTGTTGCCAGTCAAGGGTTAACTAAGACCGATATTCTTGTTAACATAAAATAACTGGTATTTCTGTAAGGGAAAAATATGTTTCTTGGATAATCAGTTCTGTCTTGCGAGAACATATGTGAAATGTGTTGCCTGAGTTTAATTCTGAGACAGACAGATACGCGATACATTTTCATTTTGGAATACAGAAATAGCATGTACGCGTCCCCTGATTTACACTGTTAAATAGGAGAATCTGAAGAGAGAACAGAACAATCGCACACAGTAATCCAGGTTACACCATGCTGTGTGGTACCCTCTCGTAGTTAACAATCTCTAGCGTATGAGTAACTGAGAATGTGTCATCCAGCTGCCTGGAAATAAATTCAATTAAACAAAATCTGACGTCCGAGTATTGTTCAGCCGTCTGTAGGATTGACAAGAGAACATCCTTTTGACAGCGGTGATTAACGAGGCAGGAAAGTTTCCTTCCATGTCAGAAAGTTAGCACCTGTCATATTAACTTCTGCCTTATTTTTAAAAAAATCACACAGATGGAATGATGAAATGCAGAGCGGTGTGACAATGGGACTCCAAGGACTATGAAGAGGGGTCTAGATCACAATAAATCAGTTCAGAGGATTAAAGAGCAATTCCAGACAAGTGAAAGCAATCAGGAAGCTACTTATGCATTTGTGCATAGCAGAAAGTTAATTCAAATCTGACTTGTGTTATCACCTGCCTCCAGTCTCCACAGACCATCTAACAGGCTTAACAGGAGGGAGGTTTGGTTGTTCTTCCAAAATTAGAATAATATCCTGATTAAGGCTCCTTTCACATGGCTGTTCTGCTCCCATCAGGTAGACCTGATGGGAAGCTCATTGTTAGTCTATGGGCTGGTTGATGTAAATGGACTTGCGTCTGTTTACATCCGATTAACTCTGAGTCTGTCTAGGTCTTGGTGGATCTGAAGGTGACAGATTGTAGGTAATTGGATATAAACAGACACATGTCTACTTACATCCGACTGTCCATACACCTAACATGGGTCCAGTGGACACAGATGTCACAAAAGTGCATTCCGTACTGCTCGTGCACCGATCCTGTTGATCAGAATGGCCAGGCACCCCTGTGAAAGGGGCCTAATACAAGTACAGAAAATGGGTTTTGATACAGTGAATATTACTTTTTTACTTTCAATAGTTCTTTATTGAAGTCAAGTGAAGCATACATAACAAAATGCATATAACATAACCAACTTAACATCCAGGATACAGTATGCTTTGCAATATAATATTACTTTTTTAAAACAGTGCATCATACAGGAGATTCCAGTGTGCAGACTTTCACAAGATGGCTATAGATGAGCATTGCCCAGTTGACTGTTTTCTGCTGAATTGGGTGAAACATTTATGTGGTGCTGGCAGATGCTATGTATGCCCAGAGATATTTTGGTGAATGTAGTTACCAATTTCCCCCTTAGCAAAACTTTGCAGAGGAGCAGATTCTTAATTTTGCCTGTTGGGCTTCTTAGACAAGTATTTACTTTTTTTTCTTTTAGTTGGTTATTATTATAGTTTGATAATCTTCGTGAACAAGAAAAAGAAAAAACCTCAGAAATTGCCTTTAATTGCTTATTATCCTTGTTGAGCTTGTCTGTTATTGTTTTGTTACTCCATAGATGTTTTGACCCTGGTTTTATCATACTAGCGCTGGTAGGGTTGGATGACAATCATTTAACATATCAATTTGTGTTAGTCAACCTGAAAATAATAGAAGATCTCAAGTGCGGTCCCCAACACTTCCAGAGGGCTGCATAGTAGTAATCTGTCTTAGTACATTCGGTTAACTTAGGCATTACAATCAGTGACCACAATAAAAACCCCAAGCACTGGTGTCGGGGATCGCTGTAATAACCCCTGGCATTAGTGTCAGTAGCCATGCTGTTAACTCTTCTCCTGCACTGGTTTTCAGTGGTGCCACCACCCCCCTCCCCCTGCACTGG